CTAGCCTTATGCATATGTCACTTTACCTACACTAATATGAAGGACTTCATACATACACTATGTACATTCACTTCATATGCTGCTTTGCCACTCACTACAAATATCAATGTTAGGACCTTCACTTCATTTCATTTTATTTTTATAGATATACTTTTTAAAATATTTTTTATACCGCTATAGTACAATTTAAGACAGTATCATGCTTTTATTATTTCATGTTATGCTTATGTTTATTAAATGTTGTAATGTTAAATGGTTTTGTTGCACCGGGGTCTGAGAGGAATGTAATTTCAATTCTGTGTATGTCCTGTACATATTGCAATTTTTGACAATAAAGTGACTTGGACTTGACTTGACTTTGAAAAGTTCCCATGGTTCCTGCCCTAGTCCTTGTGCAGTCCGTGTGTGCAGTATTATTCTAGACTGCATACAATTTCATACTCAAAATCCTGTTGGGACTCTCATTAATGGATATGGATCACATAGACCCATCAAACCCTCACATACAAGTTTGAGTCACAGAAACGTGGTTGTGGACTGGACCCAACTGGTTCAGCGAAACTGTAGAAAGTGTTGTTCATATTAGATTAAAATGTTCTAACATGACGTTAAACTGATTAATTGGTGTCATGTGACTGTGAGAACAAAGACTTCGCTGAAACCTCGGCATCGCGATGCTTATACACGGAGAGCTGAACATGTGTTCCATGTGTGTTTCAGGATCATGGTTCTGAACAGGATTTTAATCATTTACCGAAATCCCAGCCTGTGGATGTGTCGACTACCCAGCTTGGACAGGCTTTTCTTGGCCGAGTCCTCCAAGTTGTTGGATCCTTCATCATTGACCACCACAACCAAAATAAGCCCCGCCTCTATATGATTGACGTACTGTGCAAGACGATGGCTCTCATTCTTACTGCGGTATGTGTCAAACCTGTGGAAACAATCAGAAGTTTAAAACAGCATGTGTTGCATCCAATTATTCTAATCAGTGAAACCACCAAATGATCTTAAAAAAAGCCTAAATTTTATTGTTGGTCTCATCTGAAAAATAAACTGATAAATATTGGCAGGTGGTGTTGCTCTGATAAAAATTTGCTGAGATACAAAGACAGGTGGAAGTAACACTCAGGTTCTGCAGAGAAGTGTTAAAAATTAAACTTTTCTTTAGAAAGAACGTCCCGGCAGTCATCAAGGTTCTGTGACTGGAGGTTCACCTGTCTCTGTGCAGAACCTTGCCGGTGTTCTGATCTATCGTGTGCACAATGATGCCTCTGTTTCCCCAGCTCCCCTGGAACTGGTACTGGTTTTGGGGTTTTTCAGGATAAAGAGTCTTGTTGAGGAAAGTCCAGGACAGCTTTTTCTTCCCGTGAATCTCCAGAGTCCCACCTGTTCCCACGCCGATGAACTTCCTCCCAAAGTAGGGGTGTTCTTCATCACTGTGGTCCAGTCTGACAGAACGATAAGACACGAGTCAGATTTATGTCACATTATATTTAGGTTAAAGAACTAAAATGTCTCTCTGTGTTCAGACTCTAATCAAATGTTACCTTCCAAACAGAGAGATGGTGAGGTTGCCTTTATAGGGACAGTCTGGACTTCCGATGTGCAGTTCTCCTTTGGCTCCAATTAAAATATGTTTTGTTCGAAGGAGAATGGGCCGGTTGGTATCTGCTATCACCAGTTTTCCTACAGAGGAGAGGTGGAGAAGGAACAGGGAGGAGGTGAAACCTGACAGCTCTAGCAAAATTTACAGAACTAGTGGCTTCACATACAGAGCCAAACCAGAATCCCTTTAGCCAAGAACCAAACCCAACAGCTTCAGCTCAGCAGATAAACTGTTTTATAAATTTACTGACCAAACATCTGACTTACAACACTTCTTTGAAGGTCCAGATTATTTCTTAAATAATATAAAACTAAACCAAATAACAGCACATTATGACCCTGATGCAAATTCCTAACCCTATCCCCTGATCTGAACTCAAACCCCTGAAGGGAACCCCTGACCATAACCCTGATCATAAATCTCGAACCCAAGCCTCTAATCCTCTGAACAATAAAGACAAAATGAGTCCGGCTCATTTTATTTTAAAGAATGAAGAAGACAGCATGGATCAGCAGGTGTACCTCCATTCAGAATCTCAATGGAGTGGACTGTAGCTGAAGATGTTAGCAGGATTTTCTGATTGTGGTTGATGGTAACACGGTGGTCTTCACTGTGCCCTGGGGTCCATGGTTGAAGATTTAGCTCTTTATCTGGACACACTACAGAAAGCCAAGCAAAAACAATCATTCAGTTTTCAGAGGTGCATGAGGGACATTCCACCAGACCAGAAAACTTCCGCTGAGTCCTCACAGCTGCTAAAACCCAACAAGCATAATTAATTTGTGTTTAACGACGCTAATCTCATCAAATATTCACATTCAAAAAATGGTAACACGTTACAATAAGGTACACAAAATTTGATTAATGAATGCAAGGGCGTCAGAAGCATCTGTAATGTGGGGGGGACACAATGATGTGTGTAGGTGTGCGTGTGTGCATGCGCGCATGCTTGTGTGCGCGTGTAAAAAAAGGTGTTCATTAGTGAACAAAAAAGCAGCATTTCACCTAGAATTCCTTTAATTCCACACATTTAAAGCATGTTTCTCACCAAGTTTGTGTAAATTCAGCTGTGGATTTTAAAGACATTTTAACTTTAATACAGATCGTCAGGTCGTCACTATAGAGATGTTTATAGAGAAATAAAAAACATAACCACTAGACTTTTTTACTTGTGTTCAACACTACTCATCTAAATGATGTTTCTCATGAAGCTTGAGGACAATAAGGTGTGGGGTTTTAAACACATTTCAACTTTAATGCACCTGAACACACAGCGTCTCTTACACCTGCAGCGTCTTACAGCATCACAGTTACTGCTAAGCTAAGACGCTACAGATGTAGTGCTCCACTTCTCTCAAGCATCCTCCTAACATGAATATATGTTTATGATCAACCCCCCCCCATCAACAACTGCCCGCACTAAGCTGCTAAACTGGCGAGCGAGTAACACAAAGATGTCTCCATCTCCTCCACCTGTGCGCGTTTTATGCCATCTCCTCCACCTGTGCGCGTTTTATGCCGAGCCAGGAGGAGACGCACAGAAACACTGCAGGTGTTACACCATATTCTGTAACCACCGTATATTGTGACCGTGGCAACAGGCTGCTGTGTTTAGAGTCTGAGGTAACCAGAAAAACCTGGAGTGGAGTTTTAGTGTTTTGAGTATTCTCCTATTAATCAAGTGGAATGGATTTGTTAACAAAGAAAGAGAAACGGCGCAGACTGAACTAATGTTTTATAGTAAAAGTGTGTGTGTGTGTGTGTGTGTGTGGGGGGGGGGGTCCAAATTAACGCTTTTTTAATGTGTGGGGGACTTGTCCCCTTCACATATAATGGTTGCGACGCCTATGAATGAATGAACGAATCAGGAGCTAATGGGTAGTTGACCAGTACTTACTAGGGAACACACCGCCAAACCTTATTAGGGAACTACTGGTAAGTTACCTTATAAATGAAGAGGACTTAAACAAGAAATAATGGGTAGTTAATTACCAAGGAAACCAAAGAGGAACGAATCAGGAATTAATGGGTAGTTAACCAGTACTTACTGGGGAACACACAGCCAAGCCTTATTAGGGGACTACTGGTTTGTTACAACAGAAACAAATGACAAGTTCTCCATGTGGGTTCTGAATAAACCCTGCACCAGTGAGGTCACAGCTCAGACATAGTTAAGATAACAGCAGTACAAGATTATGACATCAGTTCTTACCACTGATTAAGAATCGAATAAAACCAGTAATCACCAGGAAACAGGTTTTTGACAATTATGAGCTGTGATCTCACTGGTGCAGGGTTTATTCAGAACCCACATGGATAATTTATCCTCCGTTTCTGTGGTAACAAACCAGTAGTCCCCTAATAAGGCTTGGCTGTGTGTTCCTCAGTAAGTACTGGTCAACTACCCATTAGCTCCCGATTCGTTCCTGAAGCGTTCCCTAGTAGTTAATCAAATTTTGTGTACCTTATTGTAAAGTGTTACCCTAAATTTCATTTACTACTGAATAAAAAAAGATACAAATTTACAACGATGCGAGAATACTTGATACCTCAAAAAAATTAAAAAATAAAAATAAAAAAACTGAACCAACTGCTTTAACAACCATGAACCATCGATCCAACTTGTTTCAATGAATGAACCAGAGATCCATTTGGTTTAAAAACATGAATCAGTGATCAAACTGGTTTAACTATGGGATATTTATCATAATTTGTGAAAGTGTGCCAGTGAGTGTAATCTGATTACTGACTGATGAAACGTGTACTCACCTGCCTTGAGGGATGGGAACAGCAACGCTGTAATAAACACAACATATGTCCTCATGTCCACAGACCACTGTTCCACTGAGGCTTTTTAAAACTGTGTCAGACCTCCTGCTGACTTTGGAGGGACAGATGAAGATCCCAGAGAACACACGCTAAAAAAACCTACAGCAATGAAAGGTAGAACACTCAGTGAGAAGTTCAGTTTTTTTGGATTCATCTCAACATGGCAGAAAGTCCGTCACTTATCTAAACATCTCCAACATATCACTAAAATATAAAAACTCAATTCAGACAAAATTTGAGCATGGTGTAAAATGTAAATAGGAATTGAATGCAATAATTTTTGAAACTCACAAACCTACATTTTATTTGCAGAGGAACACAGTACATATTAAATGTTGAACATAAGATAATGTACAATTACTAAAATAATTTTTAATAATCAAACTCAGGTACTGCTGAATTTAATGGCTTTAACATGTATGTGTGTTTGAAGTTGTTCCAGCTTCATGTTTCCTCTGAGAAGCAACAGTCTGTAAACATCCTGGACCCGAGGAGACCAGTTGTTGGAGGTTTTTGAGTTCCTGAGGAGACCAGGGGCCTCATGTATCATCGGTATGCACGAAAAGGTTGCGTGCGTCAGGTTCCACACACGCCGGGATACATCAAAGGTTCCACACACGTCGGGATACACGAAAATGAATGTTGCGTGAAAGTGTGCATAAATTCACACACAGTTTTGACCTGCCATGAGAATGTGCTTACCTCAACACAAACTATTTCAGTCCACAGTATCAGACTACAAAGGAATGAAACTCGCATAAATACCCATAAATATGACTCAGTTTGGTTTTCTGAACTTAACGGATATTCAAACACGTGGTTTTTTTTCCATGAGTTTGAGCAATTAAGGTTTAAATCCAAATGAGGAAACTGAACCACATTTAATCTCAAACAAAACGCAATGCAATGCACCTCCAAGATGATCCAAACAACCTCACTTCAATGTAAACTGTAAAGTTTCTTATATTTGTCACACGTAGCTGTAAACACACTTCAGTGGTTGCACGCCTGCGAGGCGCACACACAGAGAAGCATAAAGTGTGAACTGTGTAAGGGGCATTTCATTCTCACTGAGAAGAAAACAATGTCATATCAATAAATTCATTCAGAACATCTCATCTCTGATGACTCCTCAGGACCACAAGATGTACATCATCACATATCTGTCCATAAAGAGCTGCGTAAAGTTGGACGTATCTGTGGGATAAGGACAGCTGTGGAACTGCCGGACGACGTCACCAAAAGAACAGGGATGCAGCATGTTTTCAGGGATTGCAGGGACCAAATACTGATCAGGTATTTCTGTTGTCCCTGAGCCAGGCCAACTGGATGGGATGACTTCATCAATAGGATGCCCTGATATATAAAGTTTCCTGTTGTTGGAGGCTTTAGATGACCTGAAGAGACCTGTTGTTGGAGGTTTTAGAGGACCGGTGGAGTCCAGTGGTGGCAATTTTGGAGGACGTGAGGACATTAGTTATTAAAGGTTTTGGAGGACCCGAGGAGATCAGTTATTGGTGGTTTTGGAGGACCTTGGGAAACCAGTTTTTGGAAGTGTTGTATGAGATTTTTTGGGGGTCTTGAGGAGACCAGTTGCAGTTGTTAGAGGTTTTGGAGGAATTTAGGAGACTGGCAGTCAAAGCCAAAGTTTCTTTATTTGTCATACGCACCACACGTGGAACATGTGGTGAAACAAAATTGTGCACACAGGGTCCCAGTTACATCCAACAAAAGTATAAAATGTTAAAGAAAAACAGTAATAAGATCTAAGATATGAACCAAGAAAAATGTTAACCTAAAAATATGCTAAGCACTAGTCATACAAAAACAATATGCCGAACAGCAGCACGAACATGAGTAGGAACATTGTAGGTTGAAATATTGGAGAACTTGAGGAGTTATGATGTTGAAGGTACTGGAAAACCTGAGGAGACTTGGAGGGTTTAGAGGATCAGCGACCAGTTGTTGGAGGTTTTAGAGGAGCTGAGGTGACCAGTTATTGGTGGTTTTGGAGGACCTAGGGAAACCAGTTTTTAGAGGTTTTGGAGGAGAATAGTTATCAAAGGTTTTTGGAAGACCTGAGGAGACCAGTTGTTGGAGGTTTTAGAGGACCTGGGGAAAACAATTTTTGGAGGTGTTGTAGGAAATATTTGGGAGCCTTGAGGAGACAAGCTGTTGGAGGTTTTAGAGGACCTGAGGAGACCAGATGTTGAAAGTTTTAGAGGACCTGAGGAGACCAGATTTTGGAGGTTTTAGAGGGCCTAAGGAGACCAGTTGCAGTTGTTGGAGGTTTTGGAGGAACTGAGGAGATCAATTGTTTGAAGTATTAGAAGACCTGAGGAGACAAGTTGTTGAAGGTATTGGAATACCTGAGGAGACCAGTGGTTGGAGGGTTTGGAGGACCTGTACAGACCAGTTGTTGAAGATTATGGAAAACCTGATACAACCAGTTATTGGAGGGTTTGGAGGACCTGAGGAAACCAGTTGTTGGAGGTTATAAAGGGCCTGAGCCTGACAAGACATATTTTGGATTTTAGAGGGCCTAAGGGGACAAGTTGCAGTTGTTGGGAGGTTTTGGAGGACCTGAGGAGATAGATAGTTTTTGTATTGATGGAGTTTTTTCAGATTTCTAAGCTGCACTTTCTACTGGCAGCAATGCACCCCCATGCATTTTCTACATTTTTTTAAAAACTTTTCTACCATACCATAGAGACGGAGAGATACAGACACATAATACTTCTCAACATAATGACTTTTGCACAGAGTTTAATTATATTTACTCACTGTACAACTCCTGTTAATTTGTTGTAAAGTGTTGCCATGATTAATGTCATCACATTATAGCTGGCATTCAATTCTGCCCCGAGGGTACAAAGAAGCCCTGCCCACTCTGCTGAAACCATATATCTCATTAGAAACACCATGAGGAATGCAGCAAAATATGGTGACATAATTTAATCAGATACCAGTTCCAACAGATCTGCTTTAACACCCACACTCAGGCAGGACGGGGCTGAGCAAAGAGGGGAAACATCAATTAGTCACAGACAGAGCATATGCACTGTTACACACAAACAATTGCACTCACACACACATAAATTGTGTGTGCATGAGTTTTTAAATGAGAACACACAGGATCGGTCGTAGCCTGGGGTTAACAATGACCGCAACCAGTGTTGTTGACAAACAGGGTGCCAAAATAAATTGGGCTACTATTAGTTGACCCCTAGGAGAGAAATGTGTCAGGAGACAGAGGAGGAGAGGAAAGTCAAGAATGTAGGACTGAGCGTGACAACTCTAAATGTGGGGAGAATGACAGGCAAAGATAGAGAGCTGGCTGACATGATGCAGAGCAGGAAGGTAGATGTTTTATGCGTCCAAGAGACCAAGTGGAAGTGCAGCAAGGCTCATAGCATTGGAACAAGGTTTAAACTGTTTTACCATGGTATGGATAGAAAGAGAAATAGAGTAAGGGTGGTCCTAAAGGAGGAGTTAGCAAATAATGTAGTAGAAGTGAAAAGAGTGTCAGATAGGGTGATGTGTCTGAATGTAGAAATAGAAAGTCTGATATTAAATGTTGTCGGTGGTTATGCTCCACAAGTTGGATGTGGAGGAGAAAGATATATTTTGGAAGGATTTGGATGAAGTGATAGAGAATATACCAGGGGAGGAGAAAGTGGTGATCAGAGCAGACCTGAATGGACATGTTGGTGAAGGAAACAAGTGATGATGAAGTGATGGGTAGGTATGGTATCAAGGACAGAAACCAGGAAGGACAGATGGTGGTCAGTTTTGCCAAGAGAATGGAAATGACTGTAGTCAACACTTGTTTCAAAAAAAGGGAGGAACATAGAGACCTATAAGAGTAGAGGCAGGAGTACGCAGGTGGACTACATTTTGTGCAGAAGAGGAAACCTGAAGGAGATTGGGGACTGTAAGGTTGTGGCAGGGGAGAGCGTGGCCAGACAGCATCAGATGGTTGTGTGTAGAATGACTGTTGTTGTGGAAAAACAGAAAAATAGTAAAATTAGAGAAGAAGAAGCTGAAGAAAGAAGAATGTTGTGAGGAGTTTCGAGAGGAGCTGTTAAAGGTGCTGGGTGGTAAGAAAGAGCTTCCAGAAGCTCTTTCTTACCCTGGGCTACTACAACAACAGTAGAGAGACAGGTAGGATGGTACTTGGTGTGTCATCTGGACAGAGAAAAGATGGCAAGAAAACCTGGGGGTGAAATAATAAAGTGCAGGAAGCTATTCAAAGCATGAGGTGGGCCAGAAGAAATATTTAAATTAAATTAAATTAAATTAAATTCAGTTTATTTATATAGTGCCACATCACAACAAAGTTGTCTCAGGGCACTTTACAGGAGCATTCACATATATAAAAGCCAATTAGTAAAGTTCTCTATCCAAGGAATCCAGCAGACAAGTTGAATCTTGGCTTCGTTGCAGTCTCCCATCCTGAACAAGCACAGTGGCAACACTGGAAAGGAAAAACTCCCTTTTAAAAGGGAGAAACCTCCAGCAGAACCAGGCTCAGGACAAGCGGCCATCTGCTTTGACCGGCTGGTTGAGAGGACAGGAAGGAGAGACAGACGAACATAGAATGGTAGGTCCAGGTATAGGTCCAGGTGTACCTGAAAGACAAAAATCACATGTTAAGGATAGAAAAAATAATTACAAATACAAAAACAGGTTGAGCAGAGTAAGTAAAGACAGCAGCAGAGTGAAAAGTGTGGTCAGTTTGTCCTCCCGCAGTCTAAGCCTATAGCAGCATAACTAAGGGACAGCTCAGGAAACCTAAGCCGGCCCTAACAATATGATTTAGCAAAAAGGAAAGTCTTAAGCCTAGTTTTAAAACTGGATAATGTGTCAGCCTCACGGACAGAGATTGGAAGTTGGTTCCACAAGATAGAAGCCTGATAATTGAAGGATCTGCCTCCCATTCTGTTTTTGTAAATTCTAGGAACCACAAGTAAACCTGCAGTCTGAGAGCGAAATTCTATGTTAGGAAAATATGTAACAGTAAGATCTGTAATACAAGAC